GGGGGGGGGCACACCTTGGAAGGTGTCCCTCAGGTTTGGCTGGTGTCCTTGTTCCCAGCACACAGCCGTGGTCACTGAGGCCTGTGCAGGTTCCTTGTTCAGGTCACATCTCAGATGCGGTGGAGCAGAGGAGACGTGGGGCCCTGGGTCCTGTGCAGCCTCTGTATGTCTCTGCTGACCAAGCTCTGGGTGGGGAGGGGCCACCTGGGGTCATTTACAGACCCTCCCACAGGGCTGACGTGTGGGCACCAGCCATGGTCAGGCAGACCTGCCCAGAGCGGGGACAGTGGGGGGTGTCAACAGGGTGCAGGGAGGGTAGCCCACCCTGTCCTGACAGCTGAGTCTCCCTGGTGTCTCCTGAGAGGGAGCAATGAGGCCTCGCTGCTCAGACCCTGAAACAGGGAATCGGGGACAGGACAGGCTCCTCTTTCCTGCCTGCTCCCACGCTGGGCTCTGAGCGCCCAGGGAAACGAGATTCATGCTCACTTTGTACCGTCAACATTGGAGGAGCTGGCTAAATCTGGTGGGTGGTGGGACCAGCAATGGGCATCCGTGACTCTGCCAGGCAGGGGGTCAGATGCAGAGTCGTGAGGAGGCTGAGGCTGTGAGCAGCAGAAGGGGTGGGACATGTCCCCGTCTCTGCCCTAAGCCCTTGGCCTTGGGCCTCCTCTATGTCTCTCCTGCTCTGTCCCACACCCTGACGCCTGCTTTTCTTTCTCTTTTCCTCCTGCCCGCCTCGCCCTCCCCCATCTCCGTTTGTCCCTGTGTCTTCCCTGCCCTGGCCCGCCCAGGGTTTGACCTGATGGCGACCTTCGGGCTGGTGGAGAAGGAGTATGCCTCCATCCGTGGCGTGGCCATGGAGCCTGCGGTGTTTGGCTCGACCAGGACCTTCACACTCTTCAAGGACGCTCAGCTGACACGCCGGACCAGGTGGGTAGCAGGGCGTGGGCTGTGGCCTGCCTGTGATGCAATGGCCTTGGGCCTGGAGGTGGGTGTAGGGCAGAGGGCTGTACCTTGCCCTCAGAGCACCTGTGGTCGAATCCCCAAAAGCCCTGGGAGGGAGCTCTGTCCCTTACATCTCATGTTATGCATGGGGAAACTGAGGCAGGAGAGACCTTGGTCCCATGGACCCCACTCTGCAGTCCCATGGGTCTGGGCCCTGGAGAATAGCTGTGATCCCTCCAGGCCCCAACCCTTTCAGGCCTGCAGTGTCCCCCCTACCTGTGCCCCCACAGCAACATCCACCTGGCCACCCTCCCGCCAGAGCACACGGTTGTCTTCCTCCTGCGCCTCCTCCCAGAGACGCCCCGCGAGCCCTTTGCACTGTGGCAGATGACGGCTGAGGACTTCCAGCCTGTCCTGGGGATCCTGCTGGATGGTCAGTCAGTCAGGAGGGAGGGTGGTGGGCTCAGACTGCCCCTTGAAGCCTAGCCGGCTGTAGTTCCTTAGCAAGACCCCTCTAGGCCAGACGAGGGTGCCGATGCCTACCCATGGAGACGGGGGCTGCTCTCCACAGCAGCCATCCTGGGGCCACCCGTTCCACCCTGGACAGACGGTGCGCGGGCCTCACGTGCTCTTCTGCCCCCACAGCTGGCAGAAAGTCCCTGACCTACTTCAGCTACGACCCCAAGGCGGTCTTGCAGGAGGTGACCTTTGATTTGCCTGAAGTTAGGAGGATATTCTTCGGGAGCTTCCACAAGGTCCTGGAAGGTTCTGGAAGGACCAAAGCCTGTGTCTCTCCTGCCTAAGATCCTCCCCTGCCCTCCAAGTTCTGGAACAGACCCCCCTGGACTCTGCAGGATATGCCCCCTGTCTCCCAACAGCTGGTTGTCCATGGCCATGGCTCCCCCTAGAATGCTAGAACTTCCTTGAGAATCACTTTGGCCCATCTGAGCCTCTGCCCCAAACATCCTGTCTTAATTTGGGTTGAAGAATATCCCAGCCCTTCTCTCTGCTCCCACAAATTCTGGGAGGTGCATTTCATCCATTTCACAGAGGGGAAACTGAGGCCCAGCAAGGGAGTGGGGTCTCAGAGGCTTAGGGTGGGGTTGGGCCCCCGGCGATGGGCACTTATCCCCCACCTGGCCAGGGCTGTGGAGAACCTCTGTGGTGTCTTGCAGGTACATGTGGCCGTGGGCCACTCCAAGGTCCGGCTCTACGTGGACTGTAGGAAGGTGGCCGAGAGGCCCATTGGGGAGGCGGGCAGCCCTCCTGCCACTGGCTTCATCATGCTGGGGAGGCTGGCCAAGGCCCGAGGCCCCAGGAGCAGCTCAGCTGCGGTGAGCCTTGGCTTCATCCTGCCTGGCCAGTCAGGGACCAGTGGACCCCCAGCCCCTCTCACCCTGAGCCACATCTAGCCAACTGAGCTCCTGCCCTGATTTGTAGCTCCAGCTCCAGATGCTGCAGATCGTGTGCAGTGACACCTGGGCAGAAGAGGATAGGTGCTGCGAGCTCCCTGCATCGGTAGGTGGGCAAGTGCCCACCAGGGGCCACAGAGTCTGTAGGTAGATGGGTCATCCAGGTCATCATGGTGCTGGGAGAGATCCAGGCAGGCTTCCTGAAGGAGGTGACCTCTGGGAAGCATCTTGGAGGTCCTGGGGACAATGCAGGTTGGAGCTGGCCAGGAAGATCCCAGCTGCAGGGTGGTCACAGCCGAGCACGCGGGGCCACTCCCCTTTACCGTGACTTCCGTGTGTACCCATGCTTGGCAGTGAGAGAGGGTGTCCTGCCCCAGCGTTTGTGCTTGTCAGCCCCCAAGATCGGGTCCCCACCCCTTACCTCCATTCTCTGAGGTGTGGGTTTGAAAGTTCCCTGAGCTCTAGGGTCAGACAGGAGCCCGGGAGAGGGTCCATTTAATTATGGGTCTCCTTCCAGAAGGACAAAGAGAACTGCCCTGCCTTCCCTTCTGCCTGCACCTGTTCCTCACAGACCCCTGGGCCTCCGGGACCCCAAGGACCTCCGGTGAGTCCAGCAGCCCTTCCTGGCAACATCTTGCTGCCACTGGCAGACGAGGGTGGCCCCCCTCCCCATGCCCCCTAGATGGGAGCCTGGTCCCAGCAGCCATCCCCAGGCCTGCCACACACATGGGATGCACTTGACATGTCTCCTTGCTGCCTTGTCACCCCCAGCCCATGGGACCTCCCGGCAAGCCCCTTTCCCTTCATTCCCCTGGCCCCCTCTTCTGAGCCAATCCCTGCTCCTCTGGTGTGGGACCCAGCATATCCCACCTTTTTTTGTTACTAATCTCAAGGATATTTTTTCCATTGATTTATAGAGCGTGGACGGAAGGGGGGGCAGAGAGAGAGAGAAACATCAGTGTGAGAGAGATATTGACTGGTTGCCTCCCGCATGCCCCCTGATCAGGGCCGGGGATCGAGCCTGTAATCCTCTAACCACTGAGCCACACTGGCCAGGGCAGCATGTCCCATCTTTCCCGGTCCAGGTGGGGGTCCAGGACCATTCCGCCTGATGTAGGGTTGTGATCCCACCACGGGTCAGACCCAGCACTTCTGCCATCCTGAGGGAGGCTCCAGGGCGACTGAGGGGGAACCTGGGTCTGTGAGCACCCACTTTGTGCTCGGGGCACAGACCTCACCAGAGCGAGGCCACCTGCACCTGAGTCTGCAAAATAGCCAGCAGCTATGGGAGGGAAAGAGGGCCCAGGATGGCCTCACCCAGAAGCCCCTTTCCCTTCTCTACCTGAGCAACACTAGGGGCTGATATACACCCCAGCCCTGTGGGCCATGCCGGGTTCAGCCCTGCTTGTGCCCCTGCAGGGCCTCCCGGGCAGGAACGGAGCCCCAGGACAACAGGGCTTCCCAGGGCCCAGGGTAAGTCGTGGATCCTACCAAGGGAGCCTGGAACCTTCCTGGGGAGGACCCCCAGCACATTCACAAGAGCACAAGAGGGAGCCCTACTTGGCCCAACCCCAGGTGGAGGAGACTCCCCAACTGGGAGTGAGGTGCCCTCCCTGGGGCGGCCAGCTCCCCACCACGCATCGCTCAAATCTGTCATGGACTGGTCTTGGACGTGTGACAGGTGAAGACGTGTCCACACCGTATGTGGGTCCCTCACAAGCAGCTGCAGTGCCTTTGAAAGTTGCCGGGACTTTCTTGTTGGACACGCGTCCTTCAGCACCTTTCCACTGGGGCATTTTAAGAGCCCCTTACCTTTGATCTGAGCTGTGACTCTTGCTGCTGGTTTGTTTAGATTTTCGCATCATTCATGAAAGATAATGTTTTTTTCTTTACAGAGTTTGGTGTGTTGATATGCTTAATTCTCAAAAAGAAGCATTTTTTCCCTGGAATTTCAGTTTAAATAGTGTTGGTGTTGTTTGTCCTTTAGAGGTTTTGGTTTATGCTACAGTGAGGTGACCTGATGCAGCCTCAGGCCCAGTACCTGGCTGTGGAGCAGGGTCGCAGCAGGACCCTCCCGGGTGGCTCTGGGGCTGAGGACACTCTGTGGACCTGGGTCTGGATACCACAGGCAGCCAGAGGGCTGGGTGCTGTGGAGGACACGATCGGGGAGGGCCTGTGGGAGCAGCCTGGTGCCTTCTCAGCCCTTCCTCTGCCTATGTCTCTAGGGAGAACCCGGGCCACCTGGACAGACCGGACCTGAGGGTCCTGGAGGTCAGCAGGGGTCACCAGGGACCCAGGGCCGAACTGTCCAGGGACCTGTGGTAGGTGCTGCCTCCCTTCCCTTCCTTCCTGCTGTCCCCACCCACCCCTCATCCTGGGCCCCTCTCTGCCCGTGCCTGAGGCTCAGTCTGTACTTCTCCTTCAGGGTCCGCCAGGGGTCAAAGGAGAGAAGGGGGACCATGGCCTGCCGGGCCTGCAGGTAGGCGCAGGAGGGTCTTGGGGCAGGGCCTCCTCCTCCTCTGGGTCAGACTTGGCCCCAGCCTGGCCACTGCCTGTTCTCTTCCAGGGTTACCCCGGCCACCAAGGCGTCCCCGGGAAGGTTGGCCTCCAGGGTCCAAAGGTGGGAGAGAAACCTGCACGGAGGGGTGTCTCGAGATGGAGGCGGGGGTGGGGTTTCCCCCTTCTCTCACCCCACTCCCATCCACCCTGCCCCCACTGTGGCCTGGCCGGGGCAGGGGAATGGCAGCCCATGCAGGCGGGTGGGCAGGCCCTGAACTTGGTCGGGCTCAACTGCTCTCAGAGTGAGACATAGCGTGTACGCTGTCACAGGTGTGGCCACTGTGGGAGGCATGTGGATGGGTCTGAGCCCCACCCCAGCCCACCCTTCCCTTTGCCTTCAGGGAATGAGAGGCCTGGAGGGCACCGCTGGCCTGCCTGGACCCCCTGGACCCAGGGTAGGCACTGCCTCCTTGTGAGCCCCTAACCCTGCCTGTCCCCACCCACACCCCCCCCGAGGTCCCTTGGGGCTGAACTGAACATGCTCACCCCATGAGGTGACCTGGGGGCTCCTCATTTTCCTGGGCTGCACCTTCCTGGGCCAGGCCGGGCATGGGCAGTCCTGTGGCCCCCAGCACCGCAGAGATTCGCCTAGACAAGAGGGGCTTTCTCACCCCCACTGCAGCTTGGTGTAGAAATGTAGCACCTGTGTAGCCCCAGTCATGCCTGTACCCCAATTCCACGTGGCAGGGAGGTGCCAGGGTTCTGTGGGCCTGGCGGGGGCGTGATCCCTGCCCCTCTCTCTGCCTGTTGGAAGGCTGGTCACTCTCCCTCCCTCAGAAGCACCTTCCTTCCCGAGCCGACTATTCCTGGGGTCCCTGCTGAGCTCAGTACCTGGGAGCCGCTCTGAGTGGGGGTTCTGGGCTGGGTGCTAGGGAGGCCAAGCTACCCCTCTGAGGTGGGCGTGAGGTAGAGCCTGTGGGAGGAACGGGCCTGTGGAGGCTGGGGACAAACCAAGGGTCCAGGGGCCCGGATGACCAGGCCAGGGCTGGAGGGAAGAGAGGCCAGTCTGGCAGGGGCTACAGTCGGGTGATCTCTGCATCTCCGCAGGGCTTCCAGGGCATAGTGGGGGCCAGGGGTACCAGCGGGGAGCGAGGACCCCCAGGGGCTGTAGGGCCCACGGTAAGTCCTTTCCGCACCCAGACAGCCCCAGCAGATGGGGGCGGGGTGACAAACATGGACATCCTATGGCCGGCATGTGTGTGAAGTGAGGCCTGTGCTTTCAGAGTGGTTGTGGAGCTGGTCTGCAGCAGGGATAGTGGGGGTGCCCCCTGCCAGGCCCAAGACAGATAGTGGGGACAGGTGATGGGGCTGTGGGCTCCACAGGGGAAGCGGAGGGATGGGGTTCCAGCAAGTTCCTGGGAGCTGGGAGACAGAGGCAGGTAGGGCCAGGACAGGGATGTCATCTGACAGGTCAGGCTGGCTCAGGCGGGGAGATGGGGGGTG